AAATTATATATATATCTCAAATACGATTCTTAATTACTTCTAATAATCTCTCTCTATATATATAAGAAATACGATTCTTAATTACTTCTAATAATCTATATATATTACAAACACGATTCTTAATTCTAATAATCTCACCTGCATTTCCAAAATCTTACAGTATTTTATTTTTTTCTGGTGATGCTACGTATAACGAGTAGGGAAAATGAATTCGTTCAGAGCTTGCTTCCTAGCTTATTATTGGCATTCTACCACAGTATCCATTTCTGGGGAGTAATTTAGGGGCGGTGCCCTTTCACTGGCACACCCAGCCTTTGTTCAGAGCCCTTGCCCTACTCAGAATGGCCAGCAGAGGGAGCCGTCATTCCTCCCTGCAAGACAGGTGGCTACAAGTTGTGCTGCCACCTTCCTCCCAGTTTCGAAAGCGCCATCCTCAAACACAATATTTAGGAGTCCCCCCTAATCATTTGGGGGAGATGAAGAGGCTGAAGAGACCAACTGGACACTCCAGAGAGAAAAGCACGGAGGTCACGTGGGCACGGTGCCAGGAGCAGGGGGCAGCATGTGCAAAGGGGCAGGGTACAGTACGTGGGGCTGGCCTCCAGTCAGGATGCCTCTTCCCAGCCAATGTTATCGTGGACAGGCACTTAACCTACCTGACCCTCAATTTTCTCATCGTGGGATTATTGCAAGGATCAAATAAGATAATGGGAGTGAACGTGGTCTGAAGGGTTAAAGCCTGTGTGTGTCTGGACCACTGATGTCAGTATGGGGGAGGGGAAGGCCATGCAGGGGGTGATGGGGGAATTTCCAACACATGCCGAGTGCTTCCCCTGTGCCAGGCAGTGTTTCAAGAGCTTCACATGTAGGAATGCATCCAAGGTGACAGCACAAGGTTCCTGAGAAATACCGCTGTGAATAAAAGAAAAAGAATGAAGCAATCTGACCTGCCATTAGCTGCATGGATCTGTACTTCATATTTCAAGGATTCATTTTGTTTTTCCAGTTAAGTGGGAATAACAATATCCACTCTGATGCCTAAGTTATATGAGCTCATCTAATTTCTTCCTTTCCCCCATCTTCTTTTTGCTCTGGTAGTTTCTTACACACTTGTTGACAGAGCTGGGGACACAGCTTCTGTCTTCGGGGTGGAGACTTAGGCCCTCCGACCTCATCCTATGGGGGACCACGGCCAGCCACCAAGCCACCAACCCTATGGAGTTGAACAGAATTAGGTCAGCAGCCTATTTGTGGTCTGCTCACGTGAATTCCCAAGCATAACAGGACACTGCACTCACCTCAAAACAAATGACTGGGGGGGCTCCGTTAGTTAGAGTGCAGTGCTCATGACACCAAGGTTGCCGGTTCGATCCCTGCATGGGCTGCTGAGCTGCACCCTCCACAACTAGATTGAAACAACTGCTTGACTTGGAGCTGATGGGTCCTGGAAGAACACACTGTTCCCCAATTAAAAAAAAAAAACCAACAACACATGATTAAATTCAAAGTGTCTGTATTCACATAATGAGCATCATTCACAATTGTCTGAATGTCTCAATTTCAAATAAGCTGCCTTGCTGTTTGTCTACTCCATCTCCTAATTTGTCACATTGGGTGTTCTGATTTGGGGGTTGAAAAATAAGGTCGCACTGCTTTTTAATTTAGAGTGGTGAAAGAAAACGCATCCCTGTGGCAGAGACAACAACCCAGGCTCCCCTTGTCAATGTGTGGAGCTATCACTGGAGCTGTCACTGCCCAGACACACTACATTTCCCAGCCCCTTCTCATATAAATGTCGCCATGTAACGAACCCTAACCAATGGCGTGTAAGCAAAAGAGATGTTTTACTTTAGGGCCAAGACAAGGGTGTGCCTTCTCCATTTGCTCTCTCCCCTTCACTCTGGTGGATGAAGAAAAGCACAGGCCAGAGGAGTGGCACAGCCACCAGACAGAAGGAACCCGGGTCCCTAAATCATAGTGTGGAGGAGAGTCACATGTGGGCCAGGAACACCCACAAAAGACTAGTATGTGAATGAAAAATAAATTTCAATTGTTTGAGCCTTTACACATTTGGGGATCTGTTTGTTCCAGTAGCTAGTACTACACTCAGTGTTAGAATAATCTTTCCCCTCTTTCTAGATAAACCACTACGTGTTCCTTAGTCCTCTGAGGAGCTCTACCCACACACCTCCTTTCCAGGAACCTTCGAAGCCCTTCCAAGAACTGTCTGGAACAGGGTTTCTCCTACCATTTTATCAAGATCTCCCA